AATTCTTGAAGCCCATGGTGTTGCACTTTTGAAATATTGAAATCTTAGGGTGATAAAGACAAATATGATGCAGGACAAAAATAATAGTGTAACAAGGTTATTTGGCACATAGCTAAACAATCGTCCCCGATGAGCACCAACCTTCTTGAGAAACATTTTCGAATGCCATGGAACCATTAATTGTAAAATGGATATATGGATTTCTATGAAAGCATTGGTTGGAGTCCTTGCGTTTAAACCCAGGTGCTTAAAGATGTATCTCCTCCATTGTCTGAAAAAGAAAAGTCTGAAAATGATGAGATTATGAAGAGACAAGAGGGAGCTCTGTTTGCATGAGGGTGGATGAATTTTTGTATCTAAAATTGAAGCTTTAGTTTATTCTATGATATAGTTCTTTTATAAGTACTCTATCATCATCCTCTGATGTTAGTTGCGTCACCTTGTTTTCAGCTGGAAACATGCGTCATCTCATAGTTGAAGCCTGTGTTGCCAGAAATTTACTGGACACGTCGGCATATTTCTGGCCAGGGTATGTAAATGGACGAATCAACCAAATGCCTCATGGTCTGCCAACTCAGGTGCCTGGTTGGTCATCATTCATGAAGGGGGCTCTACTTACTCCAGTGATGGTTAATGCTTTAGTTTCAAGTCCTGCTTCGAGGTAAAGATCCAATTACTTTTTGTAAAGAAGAATAGCACATATACTCAACTTTTATAAACAATTTTTTAGTCCCACGCACTATGAAACTTTATCTGCTCATCTTGAAACCCACACCTAACCTTCACCTCTTTTGTATGAATCAACCTTCTCATTTCATGAAAGTTGGATTGTATAATGATCCAAATACTCATGTTTTTTATAATTAAGAAACATCAACTCCTCTCTTCCTGCGAGCATATATATCACTCTGATTATGGGTCTCCGGAGGCAGAGCTTTGCTGACACATCTTTACCAATGGCAGAGTAATAGCTAAAATACTCATTCTCTCCCTTGTCATTTCCAGCACCAACCATCTATTTTATTATTTTAAATTTTAAAATTAAATAATCTTTTATGAATAAAATGTTTTGTTTATCTTTTCTGTATTTTTATTATTTTTAATTATTTAGTACAAGGTTATTATTCTAGAAATGATTTACTAATAAAATTTTATTTGTAAAAAGATTTTTTTTTATTACTTTTTGGTAGTTATTTTTTGTAAACTGTTATTCTATTTGGAAAAATAGTTCTTATGTATTCTTATACCAGATGTTTTTAATAATTCTCCAGCTGTAAGTTTTGTTTCAAAAAAAAAAAAAAAAGAAGAAAACTTCCCAGCCGTAAGCTTTTCTGCTCTAAAGTTAAAAACCTCTTCTTACCAAAAGAACCACATCTTATACAAAGCTGCCGTACAAGATAAGCATTTCCAATTGCGAACTTCTGTTTGTGAATCTTGTTGAGTACACTGGTCTTTCTGGATCTTGAACTTTTCAATTTACAAAATCAGTTCATAGATTAACTATTTGTGAGAAATGGACTGTTCGTTCAAATGTTAGGGATTCACTAACATGCTGGTGGTGATACCATGCTAAACTCCAGGGTGGTCTCTATGTGAATAACTTTACATTATCTTCTAGATTCTTTTATCAAAGCCTGGTCTTCAGTCATCCCTTTTTCTTTCCTGAAGCCAGGGATATCAGATGCTCTTTTTTGTAAATTTACCAAGGGTAAAGCAACTGAAATTAAGCTCATGGATTTGATGGAAGCTTAGCAGAGCTCGAGAAAATCTTTGAGATTGCAGTCAAAGGATCAGATGACGAGAAGATATCTGCTGCTACAATTCTTTGTGGGGCCTCTCTGATACGGGGTTGGAATATACAGGTAACGAGGTAGAAGTTATACATTTTGAATTCTTAACCTATATGTACAAGTGTGAGCTGTTAGGTTCCCAACACTGTTTTAGTATCTGACAGCAAATACATCTTCCTTCTTTGCCCTGAATTTTTGAATTACTTCCTTTTCTGATTCATCTATTTATTTTTTAATGCAGGAGCATACTATTCACTTCATTACTCGGTTATTATCTCCACCAATTCCTGAAGATTATAAAGAGGTTGACAGTCATTTGATAGGTTATGCCCCAGTGCTGAATGTTCTAATCATTGGGATAGCATCTGTTGATTCTGTTCAGATTATTTCGCTACATGGCTTGGTATATTACATTATTTACTAAGAAGTTATTTCCCACTATGATGAAAAGATTGTGTTCCGTGTTTTCTGTAGCAATATATCCTATATAAGCTTTATGCTCAGTTGATTTTCTAGCTATTATATATCTTGTCTATGCTGTGCAGTTCAATGCAGCCTGATGGAAATAAATAAAGCATTCTTTCTATTGAGCTGCATTACTTTTGCAAATACTAAATGGAGTATAATTTGAAAGATTGAGAAAAGAATGCAGTTCTCAAAGACGAAGGTCAATAGTGCAGTAAAAGTTTATTGCACCGATGTTTAACCAGTATTATTATTACTATCTAGGATTGAAATGAAGATTTTAGATTCAAAGAAGTTGAGTGGCATGATTCTGTTACTTTTATCCCTTTCTTTTATCTGCTGGAGTGAACACAATTGTTTTCTTAGGATTTTTAACTTAAAAAGAAATGGAAGGCTTATCAATTTCGATTTTCACGTCTGTTACTGAGTACTTGTATTTTATTCTCTCCTCTTGCTAGGTCCCACAACTTGCATGTTCATTGATGCCAATCTGTGAGGTTTTCGGTTCATGTGTTCCCAATATCTCTTGGACTCTCCCCACCGGGGGAGAAATCTCCGCTCATGCTGTGTTTTCGAATGCTTTTGCTCTTCTTTTAAAGCTATGGAGATTCAACCATCCTCCTATTGAACATGGAGTAGGAGATGTACCCACAGTTGGATCCCAACTAACTCCTGAGTACCTCCTATTGTTACGTAACTCTCATCTGGTGTCTTCTGAAAACTCGCTCAAATATCAAAGCGAAAGAAGACTTTCAGAAGTTATAAGTCCATCATCCTCAAAGCCTATATTTGTGGATTCATTTCCAAAACTAAAAGTCTGGTATCGACAACATCAAAGATGTATTGCTTCAACCCTCTCTGGTCTGGTTCATGGCACTCCTGTCCACTCCACTGTAGATGTGCTTCTTAGTATGATCTTCAGAAAGATAAATAGAGGAAGCCATTCTCTAACTCCTGTTACATCTGGAAGTAGTAGTTCATCTGGACCTGGGAGTGAAGATATCTCTACGAGACCTAAATTACCTGCCTGGGATATTCTGGAAGCTGTTCCTTTTGTGGTTGATGCTGCTTTAACAGCCTGTGCTCATGGAAGGCTCTCTCCCCGTGAGCTGGCTACAGGTTAGTCAGTTCTTTCCCATGTGTTTATCGTATTTTACAGGTATAAAGCAAAACCTAAATGATTTCCTTGTTTTGTAATAGAAGTATCCTGTCTAGGATGCT